CCCGGCCAAGGCGCGGCCGGCGGCGTCGGCGCGCAGGCCCGCGGCTGCCGCCCCGGCGGAGCGGGACGAGCGGGGGCCTCCCACCAGCGTGGCGGCGCTCAGGTCCAACTTCGAGAAGATCCGCAGGGGGCCTGCGCAGCCCGCCTCGGCCGACGCCGAGAAGCCCTTCTACGTGAACGTCGAGTTCCACCACGAGCGCGGCCTGGTGAAGGTCAACGACAAGGAGGTGTCCGACCGGATCAGCGCCCTGGGCAGCCAGGCCATGCAGATGGAGCGCAAGAAGTCCCAGCAGGGCGCCTCGCCGGGCCTGGCGGACGCCCCCAGACCCCAGTACCGCGGGCGCTCCTCGGAGAGCGGCTGCGGCCTCGACGGCGACTACGAGGATGCCGAGCTGAACCCCCGCTTCCTGAAGGACAACCTGATCCACGCCAACGGGGGCGGCGGCAGGCCCCCCTGGCCGCCCCTGGAGTACCAGCCCTACCAGAGCATCTACGTCGGGGGTATGATGGGGGAGGGGGAGGGCAAGGGCCCGCTGCTGCGAAGCCAGAGCACCTCCGAGCAGGAGAAGCGCCTCACCTGGCCGCGCAGGTCCTACTCCCCCCGGAGCTTCGAGGACAGCGGAGGGGGCTACACCCCGGACTGCAGCTCCAATGAGAACCTCACCTCCAGCGAGGAGGACTTTTCCTCCGGCCAGTCCAGCCGCGTCTCGCCCAGCCCCACCACCTACCGCATGTTCCGGGACAAGAGCCGCTCGCCCTCGCAGAATTCGCAGCAGTCCTTCGACAGCAGCAGCCCCCCTACGCCCCAGTGCCAGAAGCGCCACCGCCAGTGCCAGGTGGTGGTGTCTGAGGCTACCATCGTAGGTGTCCGCAAGACCGGGCAGATCTGGCCCAGTGATGGGGATGGCACCTTCCAGGGGGAAGCAGGTGAGTGCGTGTGTGGACGTCCGTGGACCTGTTCCGGACTCTTTAGGTGGATTGGCATGGGAGAAACTGGTACTTTTTGGCGTGGTTTTCCAAGTGCTTTTGTGTCCCTTTGGCCCTGCGCCTGAGCAAACTCCACCCCCTTCCTCCTGAAGGCAAATGGGGTGGGGGTGGGGGAAAGAAAGGGAACGGGCTGGAGGCTTGCGCTCTTGGTCACAGGTCTAGAACCGGTGGGTTTGGCGGAAGTTTTGGGAGAGAGGTGGCCATGCCCCCTCTCCCTGCTGGACAGTAGGCTGAGTCCTGCCAGCCTCCTGGGTCATCGGCTCCTTTGAGCGCGGTGTGATCTCGGTCGCTTCTCCAGAACCTGCTACCTGGTTGTTCTGCTCTTGCCGTGGGGGAACCCCGGATGTGCAAGCTGCCTCACCGTCTTAGCTGTGTCAGAGCCGCTGGTTAGCAAGTGGGAGCAGGCGAGGAGAGGAAACAGAAGGAAGTGAGGCGAGCTCTGACTCAGGAGGCCACCGAAAATCAGTAGGTTGAGGATTTTATGTGGGACTAAACCCACAACATCCTGTTTGGCTTGAATAGGTTTCACCCATCATTGCTCACCGGTAGACTCCTCCATCCGCCACGAATTTCTGTTCTGTCTGTCATTCTGTTTTTCCTTTTTGTGCAGCTGGGCTTCAAACCCAGTGCCTTACACGTTCAAAGCATGCTTACACCACTGGGGTATGTCTCCAGACCTCACCTTCTCTTCAGGTCCTGCAGTGTGCTCTACGCCACCCCCCCCCCCCCCCCAGGATGAGCCACACTCAACAGGTTCGTGTTTGGGGCTCCAAACCCATGGTCAGACTCCATCCCTAAGATGAAACAGTAACTTCTTCGCTCGCACAGGCTCCATTGGATATGCCGGGTAATGGGACTAGGTTTTGACTTTGAGATCCAGGAAGAATTTCCGGTTGGGAGTAAGGTGGGAGGGTTGCTGGCTTAGGCACAGAATTTGGAGGTGTACAGCTGTC